TGACATATCATAAGACACTAAATACCCTCTTCCGGAATTGTCATACCATATTTGATAGGGTTCAAATATGGTAACACCTACAAGCGTGATTAGAGGTCGCCCCAAAAGCCTCTATCCCTCTCGGAAAGACTGGCAAGCTACCAAGAGTATTCCGCCCGCACGGAAGAGCCTGGCAAGCTATCCGCTGTGTATTTGATATGCCAAAACCAGTAACTACAACTGGTCTCATTCACCTGACCCTGAAGGCTTCACCGACATGGCAGCACTGAGAAGGATGAGAAAGGAGAGGCCGACAAAATCTCAAGGCTGACCTAGGCTGCCACAACGAAGGAAGACAAAAATGATGGTCTCTACTTTCAATGCACGTACGCTATCATCAGATGCATCCATCGAGGACCTGATGGTACAAGCGCGAATGATCAAGTACGACATCATTGGTCTGACCGAGACAAGAAGGCACGAATCTCACCATGCCGTTTTCGACACTGGAGAAGAATTGTTCCTCGGAACATGCGATAAAAGAGGTGTTGGAGGCGTCGGTGTCCTTGTCAACACAAACTTGGCCAAGAGCATTGATTCATTCGAATGCCTAACAACCCGAATTGGATGTTTACATTTGAATAGATGTGACTCACTGCCTGCAGTTTCTATCTTCGTTATCTATGCACCAACATCTCATTATGATGAAAGAGAAATCGAGAAGTTCTACATGGAGCTAGAGAAGTTCTATAAAGAAGACCACACCTTCTACAAGATCATTGTGGGTGATTTTAATACCAAGATAGGAATGAGAAGTTCAGCTGAAGAACTTCACATCGGGACACATGGCCTAGAATGGAACAAACAGGGTGAGAGACTGAGTTCATCCTGTCGACCAAGACCATTCATGGAACTCACAGTTCCAGAAGGAAGATTCTAAACGATGGACATGGGAGTCTCCTGGTGGACGATTCCACAATGAAATAGACCACATCATATTCAATCGACGGTTTTGCCTGACTGATGTCGCTGTTGTCCCAAAATTTTGAACGGGATCGAACCACCATCTCCTTCGTGCCAAATTCTACTACACAGAGCGGGGAGAAAGGGTTGCAAAGTTCAAAAAGACAACTCCCAGAATGACCATCAACTGGGAACTCTTTGGTACTATTGCAGCAACATGGGAAGATGCCATTGTTGACAACATTGACGAGGAATACGATCGACTGGTTCAGCACCTCCATGAATGTGCGAGGAACTCTAAGAGAGAGATAGCCACAAAATATCGCCTATCTTCGAAAACTCTTGAGCTAATTCGCCAGCGTGGTTTGGCGCATGCCTCAGGCAACCGCAAGCTAATGTCTGAGCTCGCAAAGCAGTGCAGAGATGCGATCAAGGAAGACCTCAAAGAGAGAAGAGCAGAAGTACTGGTAGATGCGGCAGAAGCCGGGAAAAGTATTTGTAAGGCCCGCCTGTCCTTCGCCAACTATAAGACCAAGATGACTGCCCTCCTACGTTCTGATGGATCCATCACATCCTCCAGAACGGCAATGGAGAAGATTATCCATGACTTCTACTCAAATCTCTTCAATAGCCATGTCCACAGGATAGATATGTCGTTCCCAACATTCTCCCTTCCGAAATCCGACACGCCATTTCGTCGGTAAAGAAACAAACAGCACCCAGCCCAGACAAGGTCAGACCTGAACACCTGAAGAACCTGCCGTCAGTACTCATCAATACACTGGCTCAGCTCTTCACTCGCTACCTGTCTGAATGCAAGGTTCCGTCCCAATGGAAAACCAGCAGGAACGTACTACTGTTCAAGAAGGGAGACATCCATGACATTGGCAACTATCACCCGATCTGCCTATTGTCTGTCATCTACAAGTTGTTCACTCGAGTCATCCTGAATAGGATTGGCAGAACACTAGATGAAGGACAACCATGCGAGCAAGCAGGGTTCCGCAAAGGATTCAGCACCGTCGACCATATCCACACAATAACCAAGCTCATTGAGGTTTCTTGGGAGTTCAAGATGCCGCTCGGTTTACCGTTCATTGATTTAAAGAAGGCCTTTGATTCTGTTGAGACGGAAGCGGTCATTGAAGCCCTAGCCAATCAGGGCATTCAAGCCCAATACATCAGGATCCTCCGTGAGCCGTATTGCGGATTCACTACCAGGATCTCACCATTCTACAAAGAAGTGATCGTTGATGTCAAGAGAGGGGTGCGGCAGGGTGATACCATTTCACCGAAACTCTTCAGTGCCACCCTCGAGAACATCATGCGACGACTGGAATGGGAAGGAATGGGAGTGAAGATAGATGGTCGGCAACTACACCACCTCCGCTTTGCTGATGACATTGTTTTAATAACACCAAACATCAGCCAAGCGGCACAAATGCTGGCCGACTTTGACCGTGAGTGTGGAAAGGTAGGACTACAGCTGAATCTTACAAAGAGAATGTTTATGAGAAACAGCCTTGTTCCTGACACCCCATTCACTCTCAATGGAATGACCATCTCCAAATGCAACAGCTATGTGTACCTAGGTCGAGAATTCAACATGACAAATGACCTGGCACCCGAGCTGCACAGGAGGAAGAGAGCGGCTTGGAACACCTTCAAGAACATCGAAGAAATAGCTAAGAGGAGGAAGAACCTCCGGCTCCCGGCACATCTCTTTGATTCCACTGTTCTTCCTGCATTAACATATGCCTTAGAGACCTGGGCCCTACGCAAACAAGATGAGAACGCCATTCAGGTCTCCCAAAGAAAAATAGAAAGAGCCATGCTTGGAATATCACGTTTCACTCAAATGAGAGAAAGAATCCGGAGTTCTGACATCCGTCGACAATCAAGGATCAAGGACGCTGTCTCATTTGCTGAGGTGTCGAAAATCAGATGGGCTGGTCACGTAATGAGATTTAAAGAGGACCGCTGGACTAGTGCTGTTACGGACTGGATTCCACGGGATGTCAAAAGACCGTGTGGCCGCCCACCTTCCAGATGGTCAGACTTCTTCGTCAAGATCATGAACAATCGGTTTGAGGCCCTTTATGTTCCTGGAGTGAACAGATGCCATTGGGCTACACTAGCACGCTACAGGGACAAATGGAGACGTTTCTGGCGCCCGCTCGAGCAAATCAACGACTAACGGGAAGTTAAGTGATTAAGTGATTAAGTGATTGTTTATGTTTATTGGGGGTCACACTCATGCTCAGGGATCACTCCTGACTGCACTCAGGGGGATAATATGGGATGTTGTGGGCTGATTCCAGCTTGGCCTCATGCAAGGTAAGTCTCCTGCCTATTGTACTTTCTTAGCCCCTATTTATACCACATTTTTAAGTTTGGTTACTGTAGCTTGGTGTTGGGGAACAGTTTTCCTCAAGGTGCCCAGACACGTTGTGCACTGGGTCCGGGCAGACATGGGGAGAAAGATGATGGGTGCATGGAGAAAGACCCTCTGGGAGCACCTGATGGCAGTTCACTTTATTGCCAAATACACACATATTTTATAGAGGGTCTCGGCTTACAGGAAAATACAATCACATAAAGTTTAGCATTATTGGCCTATCACTTCTTCTATTCTGCTTTGCCCTGGTCCAATTCCAATCAGGGCTAGATGCTATGGTTACGATGAGTTGCTAAGCATACGTGATAGTTTCTGTGTCTTGAGCTCATGTGACTAGGAGGTTGAGTGAGGCTCAAGGCTGGACACCTGGTACTGACACCCTGTTCTTGCCAATTTTGGCCAGACACTCCTTTCTTCAGAGTCTCCCTTCTGGGAAGCTTTGCAAGGTCGAGTCTTATCTGCTACAGTGCCTTTGTCCACAGCTTGGGTTCAAGGTATTAAACTTCTACCATACTAAAAGAAAGATTGCTGAAAGAAAGCACATATTTCTGGAGAAGACAGAACACATAGAATCGAAAATAAGAATTTTATATATCAGCATTTATAGTGGGGAAAAATTGGAACCTGCAAGAAGACTTTATAATATATCATAAATTTATTTCAAACATTTCAGCTTTCAGGAACCAAACTTCCTACCTAAGGCAATATCTTAAATATATGGAAAATGTGAGTGTCCTTGTGGATTCCATTTTGTTGTATTTACTTTCTTTTGTACTTACCTGGAGAACAATAATTTTGGAAAAAATTGCCAAGTCTCATAAACTGTAAATTAAACAGCTACAATCAAAGGAATAAAAATGAACAAGCCATGTATTAATTTGACAAAGGTAAAGAAAATCATTTTAAGAAACTATGGAATGTGAAATTATATAGATGAGTGCACATTGCTTCAACAGAAAATCTTTTATTTAGAAAAAGTCCAATATTTGGGCATGAGTAAGAAAACAATGACAGAGGTATTAAAATCATTTGTTATCAATTCCATTGCCTCTGAATATAAATCATAATGTTCTTATAAGATATTGACACTTTTTAAGATGTATTTTCTTTTTAAAATCTTGGTGATAAGGAACTAATGACAGTAGTGAAGCCATTACACACACTCACACACGTATAAACACAGAGTGTAATACTACGCTACCATAAGAAAAAATAAAATCATTCAGTTTGTTGACATGACAATAATGCAATGGTTATATACACAGTGTAATACTACACTGACATAAAAAAATAAAATCCTTCAACTTGTTGCTACGTGGATCAAACTGGAAAACATTATGCTGAGGGAATGATTTATCTTATATGTGGGATATAAAGACACATAGTAAGGAAAGAACAAATGTGATGGACCATGAAACTGGCTTACAGAACTGAGCAAGAAGTCTGGACAGGAAGTAGGACAGGAAGTAGGCCAGTAGGGCAAACTGAAGAAAGGGGAGGAGGGAAGCAGATACTCTGTTGCACCAAACCTTGTCATTAACAGAATTGTAATTACTGTGCACAAATTTATTTTAAAAAAAATTTATTTTCACTGCAACAAATACACAGAAAAATGTGCCCATCTACATCATACAAAGAGAATTTAGTGAATTTTCAGAAGGTGAATGAAACCACTGGCAGCACATATACTAAAATTGGAACCATACAGAGAAGATTAGTGACCCCTGCTCGAGGATGACATGCAAATTTTTGAAGTGTTCCATATTTTTGGGCTGGAGCGATAGCACAGTGGGTAGGGTTTTTGTCTTGCACACACGGCCGACTAAGATTTGATTCTTCCATCCTTCTCAGAGAGCCTGGCAAGCTACCGAGAGTATTCTGCCAGCACGGCAGAGCCTTACAAGCTCTTTGTGGCATACCCGATATGCCAAAAGCAGTAACAACAAGTCTCACAATAGAGACACTACTGGTGCCCACTCAAGCAAATTCATGAACAATGGGAGGACAGTGCTACAGTGCTACAGTGAATGAAACCATTCACCCAAATCAAGACTATTCTGAATGTTGCACTGCCAGCTTTCACTCTTTCTGATCACGTTTCTCTTACTGAGAATGAGGGTGAAATGAAAGGCTTCTCTATAGAGCTTAACAAAGCAACAATATTTAGTCAAATAATCTCTCATCTTACTAGTTGATAAATTTGGTTATTCACAACCGATTTCCTGCTGAAATCACTATGATGGCCCTTTTCTAAGCCACTTCCATTGACTGGTCATGTCAGATACACAGGAGGAGTCAATGTTTGATTGATTTATGTACACATGGGGTCAGATGGTAAGTGATGTAACACATCATCTCTATCAACGACTGTGATTTGGTTTTGTTCTTGAAACTAAAAAAAATAAATAAAATAAAGTTCAGTTTCTCTCTCAAAGAAAACCAATTGATTCCATTACCTTGCACTTTATCTTCCTTTCTTTTAGAAGTGAATTTTTTCCCTAATTTTTATTAGATACTCTGATTTAAAAAACTGTTAATAGTAGAGTGTAAGGTATACAATGTTACAAACATATTACCATGATTAGTGGTAGTGTTCCAATAACTCAAGGTCTCCACCCAGTCCAAATCAGGCTATCTTGACAAAGTATTTTTTTAAAATATTATAGTTAAAGTCATGTGCTTACAAAAATGTTAGAGTTTATGGTTTTGATGTGCCCAGTTACATGACCTTATCACCACCAAATCCAAGAGGCTTAGTCAATAACCTTATGTTTCCTCAGACTACCTTTATTTCTGAAGACAGTTTTTCTGTCTTTGAATCAAATATAAGTACTATAAGCTAGGGTGGATTAGTGGGCATTCCCACCAACAAAGAAAGAGTGTCCCTTTCTCCCCACATCCATGCCAGCACTGGTTGCTTTTGTTCTTTTGAATGTGTGCCAGTCTCTGTGGTGTGAGATGATATCTCATTGTTGTTTTGATTTGCATCTCCCTAATGGCTAGCGATGTGGAGCATTTTTTCATGTGCCTTTTGGCCATTTGTATTTCTTTTTTGAGGAAACTTCTGTTCATTTCTTCTCCCCATTTTTTGATGGGGTTGGAGGTATTTTTCTTGTACAATTCTACTAGTGTCTTGTATATCCTGGATATTAATCCCTTATCAGATGTGTATCGGGTAAATATTCTTTCCCATTCACAACAACAATTCTAACCAGTGTGAATGTGTTTCATGTTAAAGAAAAAAATTAAAGACATTTAATTTATTATTTCTTTCTCTTAAAATATGGCTTTGAGGTCTGAGAGCTAGTATGGGGAATAAGGAGAGATAGTGCAAGGGATAAGGTATTTGCCTTGAGTATGGCCAACCCTGTTTCATCCCTGGGGCCACCTGGTACCTGGTGCATCACTGGGTTGATTCTTGGTTCATCCTGAACATCACTCGGGTAACCTGGGTAATCCCTTGCACTGCAGGGCTTAGCAGCACTAATTCTTGGGTACTTATATTGAATCAACAGTCTTGTTGGTCAAGAGTTTCCTGGAGGGGCCAGAGTGATAGTACAGTAGGTAGGATGTTTGCTGTGAACACACCACCCCACGTTTGAGCCCCCACATCTCATATAGTCTCTGAGCACTGTCAGGAGTAATTCCTGATTGCTGAGCCAGGAATAACTCCTAAGCATTCACTTATGTGACCCCAAAAGACACACACACACACACACACACACACACACACACACACAGAGAATTGCCCGGAGAGGGCAACACCTTTCATGAAAAGCACTTTGGAGTCCCCTAAATAAACAAATACAAAAGTAGAAAGTATTTAGGGCCCAATGGTTTCAAAACTGTTTATACATAAAACATTTCAACATTACGTTGAGTATATGAATTTTTCCTAGCATATATTCTCTGGCATATACTGCACTAGTTGAAAAGTGATTCAATAACCAAAAAAGAACATGAGCATTTCATTTGCCTTTGTCCAGGAGAAAGAAAAATAATAGTCCATCTTGACTTAAAAATTATTCCACATATAGTAGCATCATGGCAATAAATCGTTTTCTGTTTTGTTGAATTGTAGAGAACAAATTAATAAAGGTAAGGTAGGGAATCCAGAAAGGAAGCATTTCTAGTTTCATCCCAGCAAGAGTACTGTGTTGGTTGAGAAAGAGAGAAAGAGGAAGATACAGACAGAGAAACAGAAAGAGAGAGAGACAGAGATACATAGAGAGATAAAGGCAGAAACAGAGACAGAAACATGTACAGAAATGAGTAGACTAGTTGAATTTCATATTAGTTAAAATGTATGTATGCACTACATATTCTCTTTTTTCATTAATAAAGTTTCTTCCATAAAAGACACTGAACAATTAATAGCAATAATAATTAATAACAGTTTCATATTTTAGGCAATATAATAAAAACCTTTAAAAGTGATTGGCTATACAAATATTCAATATTGATATTCAATGGGCTGTAGCCATAGCACAGGGGGTAGGGTGTTTGCCTTGCAAGTGGCCAACATGGCCGACCAGAGTTCAATTCCTTCGCCCGTCTCAGAGAGCCCAGCAAGCTACCAAGAGTATCTCGCCCGCAAGACAAAGCCTGGCAAGCTACCTGTGACGTATTTGATATGCCATACACAGTAACAAGTGTCACAATGAAGAAGTTACTGGACCACTGGAGCAAATCGGTGAACAACGGGAGGTCAGTGACAGTGACAGTGATATTCAAATATATAATGTTATATGTTGTGATATATACACAAGAATGTAAAACATGTAAATACATATGATATTGGAGTTCTTTATTTTTAAGCTAAAACTTGTTCATGGACATAGCCTGATAAAATTGATCAATAAATAATTGTGCCCTTAGCCAGAGAGTTCTGACCCATCTTAAGTTCTATGCCCCTTCTCAGAGATAACCATTGTCGAGAATTTCAGGCCCTTCTTATGGAATTTAATCTTCAACTTGCACAGTGCTTGCACTTCATCAGCACAAAAGAGGGAGGTCTCATGAGAAATACTGACTGCTCCATTTTCTTGGAATCAACTAAGCTTTAATTTTTAACTTCCAGCCTTTTAAATCCAAATTAAAACATTCTAAGGTCATGAATATCCTCTCCACCTCCATTTTGCCACTCTAGGACAGTGATGTGTCATAGACACTCAGAAGAGTTCCCTGGCACCATCTATTATTTTTAGTGATGGCCAAGATAACTGTTGTAGAAGTTGACATGGTTCTCTCGTATCTGTGTGATGTGAAATATTCTTCGGGGTTGTAAGGATAGAGAAAAATAGGAAGTTCAAGTTCAAGAGAAAACATAGGCTTCTTCAGAGTGGAAGAAGCAAGCAACAAGAGATAGAGACAAGCAAGTGTTGTTCAAGGGAGAACAGAGCTTGTCAATCAAGACCAAACGTAGTTATTTTGTTTTGATTTTGTTTGGGGCCACAACTGCCAATGCTCAGGACGTATTCCTGGCCCTACACTAAGGAATCACTCCTTGTGGGGTTCAGGGAAACATAAGGGTGCCAGGAATCAAACTTGGATTGGCCACATAGAAAGCAAGTACCAACCTATGTAAAGCCCTTCTTATTGTACTATCATTCTGTCCCCATGGGTGCATGAATATTTGATAAGATTAGCAACCTCATTTTGATAGTTTTGCACTTCCCAAAGTTCATATAGTTTTCCTTACTTCAGTAATCATTTTTAGTGCAATTTGATACTAATACTTCCCCTAAACACTTGGGCACTCATGTTCCTTCTCTTAGAGATTGTATAAAACTGATGTTAATTCTTATTTAAATAGTTGATAGATTCACCAATGAAACTATTTGGGTTTGGATACCTTATTTGAGGGAGTTATCAAATTCTGATACACAGAAGCTAGGGAAGTAGCATGGCAATATGGTTTCTTCTTGCATGCGTAGAACCTGGTTTTAAACCCTGACACCAAAAAAATTTAAAAAACTACAGATTTTATTTCTTGCCATTATGTAATTATTATGATTATTTTTAGATTGAGTTTGTGTTGCCTATAATAATATAAAATCAATGAGTTGCTTTATTTCTACTAAGTTGTTGAATTTCAGAATGTAATGCTGTTCATCCACTCCTTTAAAATTCTTCTAATAGCTGCATTATCTATAATGATGTATCATTACTTTTGCTTTTGATATCACTGGCTTATGTTCTCTTAGTTTTTTTTAACTTGAAGTTTAATCCATCTTATTGATTCAAAAATATAATCATATATAGGGGGAAAGATAGTATAGTGGTCAGGTGCATAACCTGCAGGCAGTCAATGTAGGTTTAATTGTTGACCCCACATAAGGTGCCTTGAGCTCTGCTTGAGCTCAAGAGAGAACCCTGAGACAGAGCCCAGAGGTGAGCACTGAATATGGCCCCAAACAGAAACAATCAGAAATTACCCAGTAACTGTTATACTGCATTTCTCTAGTGTTTTTGTTTGTTTATTTTCAGTTACAATGATGGCTTTGTTATTCCTTTCTATGTTTTCTTTCAGTTTTATTGTTATTATAATTTATTGATATATAGTATGTTCATTGATTTGAATTTTTTCTCCATCGTAATGTAGTTTATTGCTATTTAGTGCAATAAATATCCCTCTAAGCACTGTGTTAACTCTACCTAGCATATATTCATTTGTTTCCTTTCCATTTTTTAAAAATTTAGTGTTTTTATATCTTTTGAGATTTTTTCTTATACCCATTGATTGCTAAGAAATAAGCATCTTAATTCA